GCACGAGAGGAGGATTTACTCAAATTGGGCAAGTGTGTATATATACTTTTTGAAATATATTCACCCCATTATTCTTGTCTTTCAAAATTCAGTCTACCGTGGGAATGATATGATATGGCAGGTGGTCATTTAACCGGAAACAAAGCCAACAACTATATAGAGAAAAGTTAAAGAGTTTTCTGACGTAATTAGATGCGGTAAGGGTTATATGTCCTGGAATCTCTGTATACATATATATATATATTTTTTTTTTTTTCAACGTCAAGGGAAATTTCATGGTTTCGTGCTCTTATTGGCCACAAAGCGTTAAAAACCAGGACGGTTATAAATAAAACTTGATATATACATTTCCAATCTCAAAATAATATTTTTTGCACATTGAAAAAAAAAAATAAAAAAAAAATAGATAAAAACAAAAAAATACAAAACGAGTTTATATTATATTAAAATATATATGTGGACAATTGTCGGAAATCGTAGGCGACAATAATGAACGTCTATTAAAGTCGTTTTTATACTTTAATTCCAGCGAATCAATTGACATTCATTGTTGTCCTTTTGACCCTTTATGGTGCTCCCGTGCCTGCGGATTAATATGTAAAACAAATAAAAATGCGCGCCTTCATTTATCACCCCATAGAAAAAAAAAAAAAAAAAATTAATGTACCCCCCAAAAAAAATGTATTCAATCAACTAAAATATTTTTGTTTCAATTGTAAGCAAAAATTTTTTTTATTTTTTGAAATAAATAAAAAATAAAATAAAAATTGAAACAAAATTTGAAAAAAATAAAAAATAAAATAAAAATTGAAAAAAAATTGAAATAAATAAGAAATAAAATAAAATTTGAAACAAAATTTGAAATAAATAAAAAATAAAATAAAAATTGAAACAAAATTTGAAATAAATAAATAATTATTTAAAAGAAATAAAATTTGAAACAAAATTTGAAATAAATAAATAATTATTTAAAAGAAATAAAATTTGAAACAAATATTTATTTAGATATGTATGATAAAATGTAAAAAAAAAATTCGGCATGATAAAAAATAAATTTTTTTGACAAGAAAATTGAAACTTATATTCTTCGATTTTTTTTTCTTTTTTTGTAACTGACAGAGGGATTAGCCTACTTCCGAAAGAGTACAAATAAAAGGAAAGAGGCAAACATTTTGTGACAAATGGGAAAAAAAGTGTATATATATGTGAGATATACGGAAGAAGGAACTCGTTATTCCAGTTCGACTTGAAAAGCAAGACCTACTTCAATCTTATAATGGAAAAATCGCGATTTCAATCGTATAATATAGTCGATAGACAACGAAACGCTTTTATATTTTAAAATCGAAAATTTCCCAAAAATATATTATCACTCAAAAAAATTTTAATTATTGATTATAAAAAATTATATTATATTATTATTATATTATTATATTATTATTATATTATTATTTAATTATGTACCAAAAAAAACAATGCAAATTTTAATTTACCATTTCGCGAAATATTTTATTTAAATATTATTTATTTATATATAAAATAAATAAATATAATAAAATAAATAAAAAAATAAACTATTCATTTAGCTCTCAGACAAATTTTATTTTATTTTTGAATTCGAAATTTTTTGACTCTCGTGTCACTGTTTTTAAAATTTTGCATAATATTTAGTTAAATTTGAAAGGGAGGGAAATTTTTGTTTATAAATGCGAATATAGAAAGGACAAAAAAAAAGTCAATTGGGGGTTATTTTTTTAAAGAATAATCCTTCTTTATTTTCCAAGTATATTTGCGTCACGGTTAAGGGGACAAGGACGCATCTCACACATGCACGTGTGGTGAAACAATTTCTCACGACACGTGAGCCCCTTGCATCCGTTATATAGTCAATGTTTTACTTTTCTCTCCCTATATATATATATATATATATATGCATATATTTTTCTTTTGTAACACAACCACATGCAAAAAAAATAGGGGATGGGTTGATGATATTTCGAACCAACTACAAACAGTAATCGATATATGTACAGGTACACGTGAAATTTGATATTCATCCTCTTTTATATAAAAAACACGGATATACCAAAAAATCACATGAAACTGAATTTTAACTTTACAAAATTTTGCTTCAATTTTTTTTTTGAAATTTTTTAAAAATATAAATAAATATTTTATTTTCTAATAAAAAAAAACAATGTAAAAAATATAGTACAGAAGTACTATTAAACTAAATAAATAAGAATAAAAATAAAAAAAAAAATAATTTCATAGTTTTCATAATTTAAAAATAATAATTATTTCTTATTTATAAAAAAAAATTGTTTAATATAACTTTAATAACAACAAAAAAGGTGTTTAATTTTTTTTTTTGTCATTTGAAATAAATTTGCCTATATAAAAAAATAAATAAAAGCTGAATAATTTTTTTTTTTAAATTTAATTGAATGAAAAACGCGAGTTTAAGAACAGCTCATTAGAAGAAAAAAAAAAGTAATATTTCAATATAATGGGTTCGTTAAAATGGATGAATAATAGCAAAATGATAAATATGCATCTCATAACAATATTTATGAGACTTTCCTTTTCTTTTCTAGTTCTCCAAATCTGCAAAGAGGCGTGCAACCTGATTACTAATATATATAATTATATATTAAACTATACCACATTCTCTTTATTATAGTAATGAGCGCGAATAATTAGGTAACATGTTATTACTCCCACATGCATTAGAGCAACTGTCGATGGAGAATTTTTTGATCCGCAATACAAGAAGCAACTTTCAATATTTTTTTTAAGATTTTTTTTTTCTTTTAATTTAAAAAATTTGTTAATTTAACAGTAATTTGTTTACATCATGCCCTGATTCTCGGTAACAAAATAATGCTATTATTTCTAGTTGGAGTAATCTGAGCACTATACATTAACCTTTTAAGCACTTACGCGATCATTACACACATACATACAATATTAAATGATCATTTGTTCTGTAAATTTGTTTCATTTTTTCTACTCTTTTTATTTTTATTAAACAATTTGTTTTTTATTCTTTTTATTTATTATTAATTATATTTATTTAAACTATTTATTTTTTATTATTAATAAATTTTTAAATTATTTATTATTATTTTATTAGTATTTACTATTATTATTTATTTATTATTTAATAAATAAAATTTTAAAAAAACAATAAAGAATCTTAATTATTGAAATTTATTTAATAAATAAAGTTTTTAAAAAGTAATATTTATATGATACACTGAAAAAAATTTATTTGATTCAAATAATCGACTATTATCAAATAAATATTTATTTCTATCAAATAATTATTAAACGTTAAGTACTATAGCTTCTTTAGCAATTATTATAATGAGATAAGAAAAAATTAATTAAAATAATTAAAATATAGAGAGAACTTTACATATATATATATATATATATATATATATATAGAAAGAAAATGAAGTTGTTAATTTAAAAAAAAAGAAGATAAGTATCAAGTGGATATATATATATTTTTCATAATAAGCTTGATTAAAAATTTCCTTTTCAAGTCACACAGGGACTCATCTAATAGATAAACATCAGACAATTAATTAGGGTGAAAATTCCTTTCGTCCAAACTAGTAACTTATATATATATTCATATACAATAATAAATTAAAATATAAACAAAAAGTTAGTCTACAGGAACGAATTTTTATTCTCTCTTCATATAAATTTTTTTTTTCCCGGACTATACAAAGTATTTTTGCGAGCAGTCTCTAAACTTATTATATATATATATATATATATTTCTTTTTATAGGTCGCGTGATTCTGAACAATTTTTATAAAAGGAGCATTGACCATAAATTCAACAAGCTCCACAAGTTCCTTTTTAATGATTTTCAAGAAATAATTAAAAAATTTCTTACATATACTTTTTACGGTATGGCGGTATGTACTTTTTATTTCCTTTTTACCTTTTAAAAAGTACATACCTTAAAATATGTGTTAAAAAAAAAAAATTAAATATTTATATACGAAAAAATAATATTTGTAATGCACTGGAACCTCAGTTATTGAAACAGATTCTCATTAACTAGAGTTCCAGTGTATTATAATATATTGTATATTTATAATAAAATATAATTAATTATTATTTATTAACATATTATTTAATTTATTAATTATATAATTAATATATTATTTAATTTATTAATTATATAATTAATATCATAAAATTAATTATTAATTATAATATAATAATAATAATAATTAGTTACTTAATTTGTTAATTAATTATTGCTAATAAAAATTTAAAAAATGATAATAGTGATAAGTGATAGAAAAATACGAAAATAATTAAAAAACAGAGTGCAAGAAACAATTTAATTATTTCTTTATATTTTGTTAATAGAAATTGCTATTATTTTGCCTGCGGTTATTTTTTTTTCTCTTTGCTTTATTTAAAAAATGACAAATCAACGTAAAAGAATTTCAATTGAAATGCAGTGTGACACCTGTGACTAATAAAAAAAAATCGTAATAATTTATATAAAAATTCAATTAAATTAGTTTTATATAAATAATAACTGTTCTTTTTTTTTAAAGAATTTTTAAATATATTTTTTAAATATTAAAATGCACACTGAGAAACGTGAAGCATTTTTTTTATTTATTATGGATATACACTAGAACCTCAGTTAATGAGACAAGTGAGATAAATCAATATCTCGAGTTCAAGTATATTTCCTATAATAAATATTATAAATTGTATATTATAATTAATATATAATTATTATAATATATTAACAAATTAATTAATAAACAATATAATAATATAAATTTTAAAATAAATAAAAAATAAAAAAAAAATAAAATTTGAAATTAATTTTTAATGAATATAAAAGAAAATATAAAATTTTGCTTATTATTCAGCATAAAAAACTATAAATATATATTATAAAACAGTTTTTATGCTGAATGAACGGAATACTGAAAGTAAAGTTTATTTACCTTTTCAAGAAACTGAACGTCCCGTAACATGACTCAACATCAAATTGACTTCAAGGATGAGGCAAAACAAGGTTAATTGTGCAACACACTACTGTAGAATTCAAAAGATCTTTGCACACTATTGTTCTCTCCACGCCATTTATTTAAACTTCCGGTCGAATTTAACAACAACGTATTATATCCATAATGTCTCATGAAAAATCATTGAACCCTTTTTTTTTCTCTCTCTCTCTCTCTCTCTCTCTTCTTTCATCAATCACAAATTTGAAGAAAAAAAAAATTTAATTGTTCCTTTTTTTATTTTTTTTTTTTGAAAAAAGATGCACTTGGAACACGTGTGATAACGTTATCAGAACGGGGTACTTATGTATGTATATATATTGATAAAAAAAACGTACACACACATTGTTTATAAACTCCCCTTTTTTTTAAATGTTACAATACATTTAAATAATTTTTTTTAATTAACATTTTTTGTAAATAGATTTTTTTTTTTTATTTTTATAATATTATATAATATTTTTATATTATAAAATATGTTAAATGGAATAAATGGAAAAATTGATAAATGCTTTATGAAACACGCTGCTCGGCAGCTGACGTTTAACTGTCAAAGTGTGGTGTAGGTTTCATGGTATAGAAAAGACTCGAGCCCCCAACTCAACAGTCCCTCTTCGCAAGTCAGCTGATCGCCCCTCTGCTATACATATATTACCACGAGGAGGGTCGATCCTCGAGGTACATACACATAATATACAGACAGACAGACGGACAGACAGACAGGCAAGATTTCTGTTTCAATGTATACATATAACAAAACTTGCATTTTCACATACGATTCGCCACCCTTTCGTCTGCAAAGTTTAGTCTTTTTAATTAAAAAAAAAAAATAAATAAATAATAATAATCCCTTATGAAAATTCCTTATAAGAAAATAATGTTAAAGCTGAAATGTTTTCAGTATAATGTTTTTTTGTATAATATTTTCGCGATTATAGGCAATTTATTATAAGAAATTGATTATAAAATTTTTTTTTACGCAAATAATTATAAAAATATAATTCTTAGAGACTCTGTAATGAAATTATTACAATTTTATAATTATGAAAATGTAATTATATTGAAAATATAATTTTTCACGTGCAAAAATTAAAATATTATAAAATTAAAATTATAAAAATTTAATTACAGAAATTAATTAATTTTTTATTTTACTGATAACTATATATAATTTTGTAATTTTGTACTTTACTGCGATAACTATATATATAGTTATCCAGTAAAATACAAAATTAATTAATTTCTGTAATTAATTTTTTATAATTTTAATTTTATGACATTTTAATTTTTGCACGTGAAAAATTATATTTTCTATAATTACATTTTCATAATTATAAAATTTAATTTAATTACAGAAATTAATTAATTTTGTATTTTACTGATAACTATATATATAGTTATCTGATAACTATATATATAGTTATCAGTAAAATACAAAATTACAAAACTATATATAGTTATCAGTAAAATACAAAATTAATTAATTTCTGTAATTAAATTTTTATAATTTTAATTTTATGACATTTTAATTTTTGCACGTGAAAAATTATATTTTCTATAATTACATTTTCATAATTATAAAATTGTAATGATTTCATTACAGAGTCTCTAATAATTATATTTTTATAATTATTTGCGAAAAAAAAATTTTATAATGAATTTCTTATAATAAATTACCTATAATCGCGAAAATATTATACAAAAAACATTATACTGAAAACATTTCAGCTTTAACATTATTTTCTTATAAGGAATTTTCATAAGTGATTTCCAATAAAATATTTTAATGAAAAAATATTTTTTAAATTAATGTGTAATTTTTAAAGTATTTTTTATAATAAATTTCTAGTAAATGGCAAATTTTTTTTTTACTAGAATAAAAAATATTTAAAAACAAATTTAAAAAAAAAAATAATATTTACAAATAATACGTTAAAAAATATTAACGTTTCGAAATACCGATCTCCTTTTTAGATTTTATTTATCCGTGTAACATTGTTGAGAAATTTTTTTTAATGTTTTATTTATTTAAATATATAATTTAATTTTTTAAAAATTATTAATTAAATAACTTTTTTTTTATTCATTTTGCTTCGATGACATTTAGTTCGAAAAATTAAAAAAAAAAAAAAGTCAATTCATTAGTAATCCAAGCAAAAACGGATCAAAAAAATCGTTATTTAGTTAATATTTTTTTTTTTAAATCCAATATTCACAATTAAATATATTTAATTATATAAAACATTCAAAAAATAAACAAATTTCTCAACAATGTTCTAATTCTAGTTTTGAAAAATTTGCCATCTATAGAAATTTATTATTAAATTATCAAATGTAACAAAAAATAATCTTAATTATTGAAATTATATTTCATCAAAAATTTAGAGAGTTGAAAATTAAATAATAGACGGAAAAAAATTTATGATTAAAAATAATTTTAATAGTTTTAGGCGTTCGAAAAAAATTTTCTAAAAAAGTGTTTATTTTTTTATAATTTTTGATCCAAGGATTTGAAATTTGGTTTTTGTTTGTATTTCTAGAAGTAAAATAGGGAGAAAATATAACGGACCTAAATGAAATTAATTTTTATAGAATTTTTAGTTCGAAAAATTAAAAAAAAAGAATTTTAATAGAAAATAAAAATCAAACGTATTTAATTTTTTTTCAATAAAATATATTCATCGCAAAAATTGTCACCTGGAAATTCCACGGGATTTTCCTTTAGATCAATTAATTACATTGAAAGATTATTAAAAAAAAGTCATACTCGTAAATTCCAAGGGATTTTCTCGCTTTAATTATAATTATTTAATATTGAATACCTATATTTTTCAGAGATTGCAAATTTTTTTCAAAACTTTTTATTTTATAATCAAAACTTTCTCCAATTATTCGTTAAATGAAAAAAAAAATTCCTGCACGATACAGAATCCAATATTTAAAAAAAAATATTCTAAATTATTGATTAAAACAATATTAATAATAAAAGTCAGTACAGCATGAAAGATTTTTTCTTCCTTTATATATATATATATAGTAAATTCACTTGATAATTATAATCATATTTGAGGAACTTTAATATTTGCATATATTTATAGTAAATACAATAAAAATTCACCTTGAAAAAAGAAAGCAATATTTTTTAAACAATTTTTTTTTTATGATATTATACTCAATAAAAAATTTTGCACGTAGAGTAAAGAAAAATTGGGTCAACTATGTGAATTATAAAGTATGAAATTAGGTATATGTGTCAGAAAAAGTCAACACAATAATAAATCAGTTTGATATCGCGTTTTGAATCTAGATAAGGATTCTCCTTTAAAAATCAAAGTAGAAAAATGTTTGTGCAGTTGTGCAAAAAATTTTCTCCATTTCTCTTTAATTTTTTTTTTTTTATCGAGAATTTTTTTTTATTCACTTTTTTATCAGAATCAGAAGTCAAGAATATTTTCAAAAATTTCGAATTAAAAATTGTATATTTCAAGTCAAAAATTCATTTATTCCTTCTCATTGTTAATTTCCTTGAAAAAAAAATTTAAAATTATAATCACTTTCCGTTTTTTGAATTATTATATATTATTATTGTTTATAAATTATAATTCAAACTGATTTGAATTTGATTGATTCAGAAAAGAAAAATTTATCTCCAAATTCTATATATGAAAATTTGCTAAAAAAAAAAATTATTTACAAAGTCATTGCAACATAATGTAATTAAATTTTTAATTGCATGAGAGGGAAAACTTATATATAAATAAAAATTTATGCAAATTTTTTTTTTTACTGATTTCATACGATAACAACTGAACACATATAAGGTATCGAGTTTATTGTTAATCATTTAATATTGAATTATATATAACAGATAATTTTACTTCCCGTTAAAAAAAAAAAAAAAAAATTGTGCATATATTTATTTGCATCGCGAGAGGTGTTTAAAGAGAAATTTTCAAGTGAAAATTCACATTCCAAGTTTTGCATTATTATTGTATATAAGGAAAATGAGAAATTTTTTTTTTAATATAATTAATTATTAAAAAAAATTACAAAATAAAAAATTTATTTATTCCTATTTTTTTACATTTTTATTAGACTGAATTTGTGGAATTCTTCAAAAAAAAAAAAAATGGTTTACCTTATTTTATTACTCATTTCAACGATACATGCCCATCAAGTAAGTTTAATATATTAAAATTATTAAAAAATTTTAATTTTATTAAAAAAATTTCTTTCAGGTTCACAAACATATGTCTGATGTAGAATTAAAGGATATTTTTCAAATCAGTCATACTTCAGGTATTTAAGATAATTTTTCATGCTATTATTTTTAATATAATTTCAAATATAATTGTTAATTAACAAATATTAAATTATTTATAAATATTTTTTTTTTGTTTTTGTTTTTAAATAATATTGTGAGATTAAATTTTTTCAGAAATTCCACAATATGAACTAGTTTCTGTAAAACATAAAATTAACAAAAGAAGTGAAAAACAAATAATTGAAGCTCAAATTTCAAATCAAAAGAAAACACTCTTTTTGAATCCAACTGAAGGTTTTTTAGCGGGAAAAAATACAAAAGTTTGGCTTGGTAAAACAAAAAAAATTGAAGATGATTCTTTGTCTGATCTTAAATTCAAAATAATTCCAAATGTAAGTATAAAATTTTTTAATATTAAATAAGTTTTTTGTTTTTAATATAAAAAAAAATTGTAAACCATTTTCATTTTTTTAAATCAGATAATGGATGATGTGGGAGAATTTTTTCATGATTTAAATAATGGAGCGGCACTACGAATGAGAAGAGATTTAAATGGTCACACACTTTGGGTATATTTTAATATTAATTAGTAAATAGAAAAAAAAGAAATTGAAAATTTTTATTTTACTTCTTTTTTTTTATTCCATTTGCAAAAAAAAAAAAATATTTGAAATCATTGTCAAAATGTAAAAAAAAAACTTAATTTTTAATTGTTCTATAAATTAAAATTATTAATTAATTATAGGATGGAACATTTGGTTCTGATCATATGATACGTTCTCTGCCTGAACGTCATAGAAAAAATTGTACTCTTGTACCATGTAATTTTACATCATTTGAAAAAGATAAAAATGATTTTTTGACTACGTATCATCATATTATTTATAAAATAGAAAATATTTTAGAAGAAAATTTTGAGACGCCATATTGTAAGTTCAATTTTTTGTTTTTACTAATTACTTTGAACAATAAATATATTATATTATTTTTAGAAAATTTTAGCAATTTTTTTTTCCAAATTAGATAATGTCCCAATGGAAATTTACTCTGGACCACCATCAGTTGTTTATCCCGAAATATTAGTTGTCGTCGACGAAGCACTTTTCAGGTAAAAAAAAAATACTAAGCGAAAAATAAAATCTATTAAAATTATTATTTAATTTTTAATTAATTTCCTTTTTTTTTAAATTTTGTTATTAATTTCCTTTTTTAAAGTTATATTTTTTGAAAATCATTTTATAATTATTTTATAATTATTTTTTAAAAATTTTTTTATAATAATTTTGTTTTTTTTAAATTAATTTTATTAGTAAGTTTGATAAAAACGTGAAGAATGCAGTTAGTTATCTTCTAACTTTTTGGAATGCAGTCGATTTACGATATAGAAATCTCAATAGTCCAAAAGTGCGTTTAAATATTGCAGGAATTGTTTTAATGGAGGTAAATAATCGTTTTTTTTTATTGAAAATTTATTTTTATATTAAAAATTTTTAATTAAAAATTTCTTTTTAATTTAAAGGGATCCCTCGAATATTCCAATGGTTATTTGGAGAAAAATGGAGATAAAAGTTATATATTGAATTTACTTTTACCACAAACTGGCTTTTATTTTATTCATAGATGGGCCGCAGCCAATGAAGCATATTTCGATATGGTCGTTCTTACCACTGGGTAAATAATTATTTCATAAAAAATTTTATTATATACATTTTTTAATGTTTAAATAAAATATTTTTTTGTTAATTTTTTTTACACCATTTTTCTAAAAAAATTATCCAAAATTATATTGGATATTTTTTTGTTGAAATAAATTTTCTATTACAGATACCAATTGTTGAATCAAATTCAAAATAACGTGACACGAAAAGATGAAGGTAGAATTTTCTTTTCTATATTATTAATAGAAAAAAAATATATATTTAATTAGAAATTTATAACATTTTTATTGTTTTAGACAAATAAATTTTCCACTGATTTATTTTATTTATTAGGTGGTGCTTATTTTCAAGGAGCTTGCAATTTCACATATTCCATTGCTGTAGGAGTTTTTCATGATAATGGAGGTTTTCAAGGTTTAACTTCCGGTTCTCATGAAATTGGTCATTTGTATGTATATCAAAAAATCAAAAAATATTAAAAAATAAAAATTTTTTTTTTTTTAGATTGGGTGCACCACATGACATTGATTATTCAGACAATGATTGTAAATGGGATTTAGGATATATGATGAGCTATGTAAATGGATCTGAGAGAAGAGTTAGATTAAATCGTTGCAATCAAAAACAAATGCGTGATTTTCTTAAGTATAATATTTTACATAGCAGAAATTAGAAAAAATTTAATTTTTGCCAGGAATAAAAATATAATTTTTTTTTTTTTGCAGTTCAGATAAAACATTGTGTCTTCGAAATTCACCAATTGCAAATGAACCAATATCAAAAATTTTGCCAGGCAAATATATGTCATTAGATGAACAATGTATGAAAAAAACGGGACATACATCTTGTGATGTAAATATGAAAATATTTTTTAAATATATAGAAAAGAGTTTTGATATTAATTAAATTTTTTTTTTTAGTATGGCGAAAAACACTGTGTTCAGTTACACTGTAAAGAAATAAAAGATAATAAAGAAATTTGTTCTGCTTTTGAACCGGCAGCAGAAGGATCAAAATGTGGATATAAGAAGGTATTTTTAATTTAAAAAAAAAAAAATTCATTCTTTTTGAATAATGCTTTGTTTTTTATAAATTCCTTTTTTCAGTACTGTTTAAACGCAGAATGTGTGGATGAATCAGCCGAAACTGTTCAAAATTTATTTACTTATCTATAGTTTTTTTTATACTAAACAAATTATTTTTGTAATTTTTAGTTTTTTAAATTAAATTTTTTTGTTATTCACACTGAAAAAAGGGTTTGGTATTAACAACCAAACGTTTGGTTGGTATTTAAGCAACCAAAATTTTTTTGTTGAATCAACAAAATTTTAATTGTCTCAACCAAAATTTGTTTGACACAATCAAAATTAGAAAAAAACGATTTTTGTTGTCCTAACTAAAGTTTAATTGAGACAACCAAAATTTTGTTGATTCAACAAAAAAATTTTGGTTGCTTAAATACCAACCAAACGTTTAGTTGTTAATACCAAACCTTTTTTTCAGTGCAAAATAATCTTAATTTATTTTTAAAAAAAATTTGTATATAAATTATAATTTAATAAATTTTAATAAATAAAATTAATTAATTTGAAATTGTAACGGAAATTTAATTATTCTCATCGTCATAGATTTGTTTTTATTTTGTATCTCAAGTAACCTTCAATTTGACAAAAGATTAGAATAATAATACCTATTCTATAGCTATATAGATATACAAATAATCGAATCTGTATTATATTATCTCTGCCTGTATATAATGCTTTTGTACACATATTGTAAAGAATAAAATACCATTGCAACCTTAAACAAAAAATGACTGTACCGAGTCCAAATCTGGAATGATCGATGGACTCACTCATTATGCAGTCAATATATGTGTTATATTATTGTGATAATGTCGACTGCCGTTCATTTTGCATTTTTGTTTAATTATTTTCAACACTCAGTATTTAATCAAAACAGATGGCTCACAAGAGAAAAAAAAAATTTCTATTTCGAAAAATCGTTTATTTTAATTCTCTTAATTCATAAAATTAATTATTAAAAAAAAAAAATCTGAAAAATACATAGTGACAAAGTGAATAAATTATTTATCAAAAATCAATTATTGTATAATAAAAAATAACGAAAATTAATAATAAATAATAATTAATTATTAAATAATTGATTTTCAATAATATAAATAAATCAGCACATACCTTTATAAAACCTAAAAGAATATAAGATTAGAAAACATCCTACTCTAGATTAAAATTTGAGAATTTAATTTACTAAATAAATAATAATTAATATTTGTCTTAAATTATTAAGTTTCAAGTTAATGGAAAAAGAAAAGAATCAAAGTCTATATACATAAAAAGAAAATTAATTCGTAATTGTTAAAAATTAATTATGCAATTAAATTTACTAAATGTGATAAAATAAATCCTAGAAAAGTTGAGAAATATTTTACAAAAAATCCACTAGTTAATTAAATAGATTAAAAATAATTTGAAAAAAACAAATTATATATCATTAATCGATTTAATTGCTGTCACTATGAAATTTTTCTAATTTGTTACAACTTGCCTTCGGCTAATTTTTTTATGAAGACAAGAGGGACTTACAATTTTTGATGATTTCTGGATGCTGTGGAATCACTTCATCTCTCAGGGACTCCAATTTTTGTCACTATTCTGAAAAATAAAAATTATATTATTTACCAATAGGTTAAATTTAAATATAACGCGCTAAAATTTGTCAGTCTTTACGTACAGTTCTGCGCATATTTTAATCTCGACACCAAAGTCTGTACCATTATCTTTTCTTTAAATGCTTTTTAAATATATAATTCCTAATTGAAATTATTATTTTAAAATTATTTTATTATATATTCTTTCTAAATTATATATTTATCTAAGTTAATTACAACTATGAATGAAATTAAAAATAATTTGACTTTCGTTGTACTTCTCTTCCCACGGAAATGCTAACAGTGTGACCATTAATTCTTAAAATAATTATTCGAATAATTTTCTTTAAATTTCCTTTAAATAATAAATTATCTTGTTTTATTATATAAATATTTTTCAATTTTGTTGACTGTACATTTAATTTAGTTTTCATTATTAAAATTCTTTTATTTACAATTAAAATTTATTGAAAAGTATAGGGATTTTTTTTTTTGAAAACATTTTCCCCCAAATTGGCTCGAAAGGGAAAGCGCGTGACTCTCTCTTTCCGTTCCCCTCTCCCTAAACTGATCTTTGGCGTCATTGCTTGGCGTGTTCTTTCCAGTTGCGTTAGCTCCGCCATTATTCGTCGCTCAGTCCAGCAGTGAAAGTGCCTCTCAAAAGCCGTTAATTCCCATCGAAATTCGTAAGTAATTTAATTATATTTTTAATAGCTAATTGTTTAAAATTATTTTTCATTTAAATAATTGCATTTCAATTATTTCAATTATTTTTCTGCCTTTTTAAAAATATAAAATTCACTTCCTGAAAAAAACGTGCTCGTTAGGTTATAGACATGGCATTTTTTCTTTAAATCGACAATTTCTTACACAAATTCAAAAGAAATGGACAATATTATTAATAATTTTTTCTTATTTTATCATTAGAATGAAGAAAAACGTATTGAGAAATACATTTTTGACATTTATATGTCGAATATTCTACATCAAATGAATCATCAAGTTTCGAGAGAAAATCAACATTTAGTTTCTCAATTTCGCTTCTTCTGCAGAATGGGAGCATTTCTAAACTTTTTGTTGAAATAGAAAACTGAATTTCAATATTTCAACGTTTAAAATGAAAATATGAATGGAATTTATCAAGGTGAGTCAGCATTTTCTTTTTTCTACTTTGCAAAATATTTTATTTATTTAGAACAATAATATTCTAAAAAGTGACGCCATAAAAAAAAATTGTTTTGAAAATCTACAATTAGTTTTTATAAAATGTTTTATAGTGGAAACATGGTCAATTTTGTTACGAATAAAATTAATCAACATTAAAATTCAGGTGAGAATTAAAAAATTTCAGATTTCAAACCATTTGTCAACTTTAAGGTTATGATACCCATTTTGGAATCTGTAAATGTTTAAATTATCATCTGAATTGTAGTGTTAATGGTTTATTTTATTCATAAAAAAATTGACCAAATTTCAACTGCAGAACATTTTATAATACTAATTATTGTATATATTTATAATTTACATAATTACACTTATAATAATAATAATTTCTTTTTGCTTTAGGAGAATCATGCATTGCATATTAAAGCAATATAAGGCAGTGCTGAGGAGTTCCGAGAATGAGATTTTTTTCCATCAACAACTTTCCTGCTTCACTGGATAACACTTTTGAAAAGGAATTCTCAGAACTTCTAATCTCTTCATAAATTATAATCTTCGAGGTGAGAAAAGAGATAAAAATTTCAAACAAAGTATATTTTCACTTTAATTTGAAATATTTTATTCAAAAAGGTAAAACACCTCCTTCCTTAAAAAAGGATTTAGAAAAAACTTCCGAACTTAAAAATTAATATTGTGTCATATTAAAATAAATATTGACGCAAATATTTAATAGTAGTGTTAATTGCTATTAAATTTATTCAATTATATTTCATCAGTCTTAATGGCTGTCATATTCTTCATATTAAAATAACTTATTAATGTTTTTGCTAGTGTAGCAGTTGTCACTACAAAGACTGGGCGTCAGATACCTTTTAATTTCTTTTTGAATTTTTCATAAAATTTATTTAGAACGACATATGATTGTCGTATACTTCCTGAACATAATTCGATTGTGTAAATAAAAATAGTCTTTTTTTAAAATTCAATTTATAAAAGAATCATTACTAATTATAAATCATATAAAAATTAACTTTTTCCTTCAACAATACTCGATCGTATTAAAAATCAAATTGTTTTTTTTTGTTATTGGTTTCATTTAATAATTATTCATAATAATTTATTATTTTCTTTTTTCAAAACCAATTCGATCGTACATTTTTATTAACTGAACATAAATTTTAGATTGCTATAAGGCAAAATTGGAACAATTTAAAAATTTTTTTTATACAGTGTACGAATTATCAATTAATCTTTTCAACATTGAATTTATTCATCATCTAGTATGGAACATTTTTTCAAAATATTGTTCACTTATTCATTCACCTATTGTTCACTTCCTTTTTTCACTTAATTCAACGCAACGTTTATTCATCATTAATATAAAAAAAACCTTTTTACCCATTATTAAAGAAAAATTGCTAACTAATTAATTAATAAATAATATTTCATCTTAATCATTGTAATTAATATACTCAATTATTTGAGTTACATATTATCTTCATGGATATTTTTAATAAAACGATTTCTCCAATCGTTGCATTTATTCATCATCAATTACATTGTGTATTTGTATTTTTTCAAATGCAATAAGAAAGATTTTTTGTTAAAATAGAAAACTGTTTATGTAAAAAAATTTTCGACGAATTTGATTTTTTATGATTCAAAACGGTTTTGTATTATTGTTAAAACCGAAAAAATTAAATTCACAAAATATATGTAATTATATTATTAATTTGTTTAATACAAAAAAAATTGATTTAAAAAACCTAGTTTTTGTTTAAAATCCCATCCCTACGTTTAGTTTTTAATTAATTATTAAATAAATAATAAATTATATCTATGAATTTTCTAAAAGCCATAGAGTTTATTAAATAATTCACAAAGAACTGAGAAAAAGTATTAAATAGTTATTTATAATAAGTAAATAATAAAAATTAATTTAATTGACAAAAAAAATATCTAATAAAATAATTGAAATTGCTATTATTTTACAAAAAGTATTTAAAATAAACAGTTATTCCTATTTACCGACTGACAATTAAAAATCTTGTGGGTGATAATCTGAATAAACTCTGCGAAGTTCGTCAGTTTTATCATAGAGGGAAGCACGAAGAACTTTTCATTCAAAGAATAAAATTTCAAATACATCGTAACTTTCCCCGTACAAGAAAAGTTTATAAATTAGTTGTTACGCGAAGCATAATTATAATAATTTGATTATAATTTAATAGGAAACTTTTTTTCAAAAAAAAAAAAAAGTTTGTTATTTTTCATATATGTATATGAAAATTTTATGATTGGACAGGTAGAAAATTTTTTAACATGAAAACAGCCACTTATTCAATTAGATTCACTTTCACATAACTCCTGTATTTATTTAAGATCTATAATTTACAAAATTGGTGCTTTCTGAAAAATAGTTTGCGATTGCTAATATTTTTTTAATATTTTTTTAAAAAAGAAACATCTCCCGTGTGACATGTATACACATACACATATTTAATGTCTAAATTAAATGCCTTATCGAATTTTTCCACAGGTAAAAAACATTCTATATAATGACAGAGCATTTGGTACACATTTTTTATTCATTCAACAGACATCAACCGCTCATTCATTTGAAAATATCGACACACGTGTTGTAAATCCGGTTTTCCATATAGACATTACTTAAATAATATACAACACGTATAAGTGGTGAAAGAGTTAATTAATTTTAACGTACATTTAATTAAACGATTGAAAAGAAACTAAAAGAAAATTGCATATTTACTTTTAGAAAATTTTCTAATCGACTTGTAAGTTACTAAATAGCCTTATTTAGTAGATTTACTAAAAAGAATATTCATATATATAAAAAAAAATTTTTTTGCTTTAATTCGTATACGTTCGTTTAAATAAATTTCAATTAGTTTTATATATTTTTCAACAGATTTTAACTGTTTCAAACTGGTTTTATTTACTTTCTAACATGTTTTAAGCAGTCCAAACTGGTTTTGTTTATTTTTCAACATGTTTTAACTGATCCAAAATGGGTTTTTTTTATTTTTTAACTTATTTAAACTGGTTTTCTTTATTTTTCAACAGGTTTTAACTGGTTCAAAATGGTTTTATTTACTTTCTAACATGTTTTAACCAGTCCGTACTGGTTTCGTTTAAGTTTTAACATGTTTTAATTTATTTAAAGTGATTTTATTTATTTTTTAACATGTTTTAACTAATCCAAAACGGTTTTATTTATTTTTTAACTTGTTTTAACTTATTTAAACTGGTTTTATTTATTTTTCAACAGGTTTTAACTGGTCCAAAATGGTTTTATTTATTTTCTTTATGTTTTAACTAGTCCAAACTGTTTTTTTTATTTTTTAATATATTTTAACTTGTTTTAAATGGTTTTATTTACTTTTTAAAATGTTTTAACTAGTCCAAAACGGTTTTATTTATTTTTTAACTTATTTAAACTGGTTTTATTTATTTTTCAACATATTTTAACTGGTCCAACACGGTTTCATTTACTTTTCATCATGTTTTAACTAGTCCAAAACGGTTTTCTTTATTTTTTAACTTGTTTTAACTAATTTAAACTGGTTTTATTTATTTTTCAACAGGTTTTAACTGGTCCAAAATGGTTTTATTTACTTTCTAACATGTTTTAACCAGTCCGTACTGGTTTTGTTTTCGTTTTAACATGTTTTAATTTATTTAAACTGGTTTTATTTATTTTTTAACATGTTTTAACTAGTCCAAACCGGTTTTATTTACTTTCTAACATGTTTTAACCAGTCCGTACTGGTTTCGTTTTCGTTTTAACATGTTTTAACTTATTTAAACTGGTTTTCTTTATTTTTCAACAGGTTTTAACGGGTCCAAAATGATTTTATTTACTTTCTAACATGTTTTAACCAGTCCGTACTGGTTTTGTTTTCGTTTTAACATGTTTTAATTTATTTAAACTCGTTTTATTTATTTTTTTACATGTTTTAACTAGTCCAAAACGGTTTTATTTATTTTTTAACTTGTTTTAACTTATTTAAACTGGTTTTATTTATTTTTCAACATATTTTAACTGGTCCAACATGGTTTCATTTACTTTTCTTCATATTTTAACTAGTCCAAACTGTTTTTTTTTATTTTTTAACATATTTTAACTTGTTTTAAATGGTTTTATTTACTTTTTAAAATGTTTTAACTTTTCAAAACTGATTTTATTTACTTGTTAACATGTTTCAACTGGTCCAAACGAGATTTGTTTGCTTTTTGAACATGTTTCAAGTAGATTAACTATGTTTTATTGTATGAAAATTTGAATTTGTTGGTACAAATGATTATTTTTTTTTAATTTACCAAACCATATGTGTCAAAAATTAAAAATAACAGTTCAAGAAGAAGGGGAAAACTGGCCTTTTTAATAGAAACTCTGCCTTTTATTTGGGTAATATAAGCCAAGAACGAATCTACGGATGATTAATGAATCAAAGCTACTTTTTTCGGAGCAGTTGTGTTGTTGAAGAGTTAAGAGACTTCAAATACCGATAAAAAAAATCTTGAAAATTGCAGAGTGCAGAGAATATAAGAAAAAGCGGTGTTACAAATCAAATAAGTGAGTCTGTTGCACCTGCTTGTTGAGTCGCACGTGTATATATGTATATATATATATGCACATGAGTGAAAGAGGAAATTGAGTCGGTCCTTGCTTGCCAAAGGGCTTTAATTACATTGAAATTGTCATGCTGATGCAAAGGATATCGTTTACAGAGTCTCTCTCCCGCACATCAAGTGCGCTTATACTGCTTATTCATCGAAACTCACGCGAGTAATAATACATAACATATGTATATATGTATAGAGGGTGCTTTACTGCTACACACGGGATGTCTCCGTTTCTTTGTACATCGTCAGCACGAGTCCTCGAATCATCCGCACATGTATATGTATATATATTCACATGAACACGGGCATGGCAGGTGGCGCCCGCATCGTTCACCACAGGGTAAAAAAAATCAGATAAAGAAACAAGAAGAAGAAGAAGAAAGCAATATTGAAGGCCGGACCAGCAGGACTAACGAAGGAAAACCACACTTTACATTTAATTTACACAATAAATTTGTCTTAACGTCAACGTAGCTCATTGAACATGAACACCCTTTCAGTTATAATGGCATCTCACCATACTTGTCATTAGACACAAATGGATGCATCTACTGTTAAAGAAATGATATAGCAATTTTTTGCACCTGCAAAATTTTGAAAAATTTTTGATATTAGCATCATTATTTTTCATCTTTCTTTCTCTTGATAGTTACTTTTTAGAGTATATTTTGTGAATAGAAACCAGGTCGATACTTTTTTACGAGAAAGAAGCTGAAAGATATATAATGGAAACTGCGTCCAGGTGAATTGGTGAACGCATTCGCAGGTGAAAAGAAACAAGTCAAAAGGACCAAGACCCTGCTTTTGCAACACAGTGGTATAAGGGCGAATCCCGCAATGTGCTATTGCCAGGGATTGCGCTCGGCTTATCCAGCTGGAGGAGAGAAAAGATTGGTATAACCTTCTTCTTCTTTTTCTATATATATACCCTCTTTTATTCAAAGCGAATCCCGACACTTTTTCTCTCCACGTGTCCCATGTAACCGCAACGATAATCCAGTGATTAATTGTCACACACAATTTTCTTATAGCTCACGCCGCTTTTATTTTTCTTCACCTTATTATAGGAACAGCTTATTCATTATTAAAATTCATTGATATATGCGATCTATTTTAATGAATAGTTACATTATTTTTTTTTTTAATTTTGCCAAATCATTAAACTTGAGGTGGGTAAAAAAAGGGATATTTTCCATTGTAAACTCGCAAAGTCATTTATTTGGATCACACTGTGCGCATTGGTCAAAATGAAAATCTCAACACCATATAGACCGCACACACTCTTTCATTTTCAT